CGTTCTGCTGGTCTGTCTAACTTGGCATCCTGCCCTTTGCAGGGGCTAAGTTCAAGGAGTATGCGTAAAGAGGTCTGAAATTCTGTTCTTTGGGGACTAGCAGCAATTAGATTCTCACGTGCAGTCTTGTAGTTCAGTTACTTCTCAACCTTAAAGTTTAGAATGATTTAGCATTGAGTACAGTGAATAGTTTAAGTAATTAAAGATTATCTAGCACCAGGATTTGACAGATCTGTTGTAGTAAATTCTGTAGATTGAACACTGAGGGGTAGGAAAAGCTGTTTTTCTGTTTAAAAACCCTGTTGTTTCATTGTCTTTGGTTGTCCTACCGGTTCCTTCATCTGGATGAACTTGTCAATTAACTGAATGTGGCAGCAGAATTTCCAGGACCAGAAAAGCTCCATGTAAAATACAGCCAATTTATCTCCTGAGAGTCAGAAGCCTTGCAGGATTTTATCTTCGACAGTGAATATCAGGAGGAAAAGGGAAGATCAAATTAAATGAAAAAGGATTTATATCTCGCTGAGGATCTGGGCAGAGCCAGAAGAGCTGCTAACGGTTTTAATCTAGACAAGCTCACAATAAGCAGCATGAGAAGGAGCAGCCTTCACCTTAACGTTTGTGGAAAGCAACATGCCTTCTCATTTTAACAAGAAGGTTTTGCTTCCACAGCTGCATTGACATACTGAGCATAGATATGAGGCAAGGTGCTCTACGGCAGGCTTGAAAGATCTCTGTTTTCTTTGGGCTGAATGTGAGAGTAGGGATGCCCTGGATTCTTGCCTCTAGAGGAGCCTGTCATATAAACTACAGAAAGGAGTTTGCGGTACCTGTGTCAGAAGATAGGCTGAATTGCTAGGCAGGGTGGGAAAGGAAGAGCTTAGTATGTTGCATAAGGTTTTGTTTTTATTTTCTCCCATTGGTGGAAGCCTGAGAGCTTTCCTGCGTTGCAGATGGTGGTGGGTGGGTGAGCTGCCTGTTTCTGTTTCACAAGAACATGGTCTGTTTGCTCAGGAGAGCAAATGAACACTGTCCTTCCCCTGAATGCTTTGTCTTCTGTGTACAGCCAGCTGTCTGCTATCAAGCCATCACAAAGAAGCTGAAGGTTTGTGAAGAGGTAAGGCAAATCTTGATTTTTATGGATTTTTCTTATTGTCATGAGGACTTGCAGTTCCTGCAGAGATGTGCACTCTATTTTTTTTTTTTTTCCCTTTTTACCCTCTTCCCCCTAGGAAACAGGATCCACCTCCATCCAGGCAGCAGACAGCACAGCAGTTAATGGCAGTATCACGCCTACAGACAAAAAGTAAGATCTCCAATGCGCTTCAGCCACTTCCCTTCCTTTTTCTCCTTCCCAGCTCATACATGCAGCCATTATCCAACTTGTCACTAAGAATAAATAAACCTAACGTTTCCCTCTAATTACAGATCTCCTCTGTCCTTGTGTGAAACACTGATTTGGGGAGCGGGGGGGGAGGGAGGGAGGCAGCCAGCTAAAAACAAACACGGACTGTACAGTAGAAAAATTCAGAATAAGGTCTGGCCTGGATACATTTGCAATTCAGGGCTTTTCTGCAGTTGCCCTTTTCTGCAGTTCCTGTAGGGCAGACTGCAGAACGTTAAGCATCAGTATTTCTGAATGCTGTATGAGGCAGAAAGATAAAAGGGTATCTTTCTCCAGTGGTGACTGACAGTTGAGTGGAGTTGTTTAATCTCTGTCCTGAGCATGTAGAAGACAAGAGGAAGAGGGAGGTGTGTTCTTCCAGCGCAAGAGCTTTGCTGTGTAGCATGTGAGCTTTCTGGTTTCACCTAACATCCCCTTTCTGCTTTTGAGAGTGAGAGAAGCCTAACTTGCGCTTCCTGTTTCACTCAGTAACTTCCGCTCTGTTCAAATTGAGTTCAGACCACAGCTTGCCGTTTGCTGTTGGGGTTGTTCTCATGGGATGTCGGTTCTCAGCTGTACTCCAGGGGAACCAAAATAACAATGAAGCTGTTCAGGTAAAACAGTCTCTCAGGAAAGGGTGGGCTGGGAGAGAAAGAATATCTCCTCTGTTTTAGCGGCTTGAAAATAGATGCACCTTGTTTGGGCTGTTTAAGGAGCCTACAGTGACTTGCTCTGACCTGTCTAAATTAATTTGTTCTAACAAAAGGCGGCATGGCTAGAGTGCAGGTGGCTTGTGAAAGCCACAGCGCATCTCTAGTGTGGCTAATTCCAAAGAATTAACTGGGGAATTGCCAGGCAGATTTCATTGTGAAGTTATGTCAGGTGTGTAACTGAACACTTGAGAATCTCCTACTAGAATTTTGGTTTTGGTATGAAGCGAGCTGCATGATGTATAAAAGGATCCTTGCAGCAGTGCCTGCAAAGGAATTCCTGTTGCAGGTAACTGTAGGGTTGGAACTTGTTAGCGCATTTTCTTTTTATTGAAGGTGGGAGCAAAACTCTTGCCAGCTTTGAGGTTTGTGGGGGAAGAGGCACAGAGGGGAAGGTAGCTGGTATCTGGGACTATTGTATTGTCACTCAGGGTGACCTGTACAGGCCTGTTAATTCCTTTCTGTGTCTGTCCAAAATTGCAGCTATAGAGCAGTTCTTTGGTCTGTCCATGATGCTTAGCCCAGTTGCTAAGCTTTATTTAGCTTTTAATAAAGCTTGCTGTGCTTTATTAAAATAAAGATTCTAATGTATCGTTCAATAATATAAGCAAGTCATCGTACATGTGACTTAGTTTAAAAATCAGAAGATTATTAGAGAAGCACCTGCTGGTCTCTGAATGTTCCCTTTACCTTCAGTAAGGCGAAGGCTGGCAACAGAAAGCACAAAAGCAGCAGTTTTAATAAAACAAACAAAACCCACAAACTAAAAGACCTAGACCACCCAAACCTTTAATTATTAGGTAGTCTTTTGAAGTAGACTAAAGACTTTCTTCAGGAAATTGTTAACGATGTTTAGCAAGCAAAATAAGTACCAACTTGCTTTTCAAGCTCAGTATCTAGCCATTCTAGCTGTGGCCACAGTGGAACGTGTTTGGTTTCGTTGTGGGTTTGGGATTTTTTTATTTTTTTTTTTTGCTGATGATGCTCCAGGGTTTGCTCATCATTGTTTCCAAGAGCATGAGAGGCTGACACCAATTGCTTTCTGTTGCATTAATGTTTATCTCTTCCTCTCAGGATAGGATTTCTGGGACTTGGCCTGATGGGAAGTGGCATTGTCTCCAACTTACTGAAGATGGGTCACACTGTCACTGTCTGGAACCGGACTGCTGAGAAGGTAGGCATGTGCTTAAGGTACAGGTGATACTTAACCTTTTCAAAACATGTAGTTACCACCCCTAGCTCTGGTAGGCCTGCAGTCACCAATTGGTGGTGCCTGGGAGAAGATGCCAAAGAAACACAAGTATGTGCTTGCCACCTTGTTCTATTATTATGGCTTGTTGGTGGCCACTTTTGACTAGATGAAGTTGTAGTCTGTCCTAGTATGGTCACTCTTATGTGAATGGTCCCCACCCCATTGCCATTTTGTATGAGATGAGAGTTGTCAGAAAAATTACAACCTTGCATACGTGTTGAGGAATGCAATGTAAAGCACTTCAGGAAACACTGCTGATGTAAATAGCCAAGACATTGTGTCATGGAGCAGGACAAAAAGACCAGGTGCTGGGGAGTTGATCCTACAAGTAGTGTGGTAAGATGCACTGCTTTACCACAGCTTGATCTGCACATCCATTATGCTGTTTATGTTGTGGTAACAAAGGTTCCGTTAAAAACCTGTTGTGTTATAAGACAGGATGAGTAGGGGTTTATAGATGTATTCAAAGTGAAAATGGAGCTTATATTACACTTACATTCTAACCAGCGTTATTCTTTGTAATGAAGGAGGAAAAATAGTTGACTGGAGGACATGGTATTCAGATAATATTGTGGAATATCAAAGTCAAGAAGGGCACTGTGGTTACTTTGTTAAAAGGGATTAAAAGATTTATTTACTTGTTTTAAGTGCAAAACATGGATGGTATGAGGGGATAGGGTAAGAAGGCGCTAAGATTTTTTTGAAGCAGCAGCCCATTTAAACATTTCAGTCTCAGCTGTGCATAATCCTGTTTACTGTCCAGTAACACCTTTTGCTATGTCTGTTTACCAGTTGTTTTTTTTCTCTCATCTCTCCTCCAATAGCCTCAACATTCAATCTCTTATAATTTCCCCTAAGCATTCTCTCTTCCTGTGTCTTTCTTTTGAAGTTCTTCACTTGGGGTTTCAGAAAAGCTGCGAAAGAGACCCCTTTGTGTGTTTGTGGGAAGAAACCAACAGAAGACAACCCAGTTGCTATGTAATTAATATGCCTGACTCCTTTTGTGTTGGGTCCAGCAGAAGAATTTGTTTCAGCAAAATGCTAGAGAACCTGTTTGCTCTGTACTTAATTTTTCTTACATTTGGATTTGTGACTTTTGCAGTGTGATTTGTTCATCCAGGAGGGGGCACGGCTTGGAAGAACCCCTGCTGAAGTTGTCTCCACCTGTGACATCACCTTTGCCTGTGTATCAGATCCAAAAGCAGCAAAGGATGTAAGGATTAGCTCTTTTTTTTTTTTTTTCCTCCACCAGCTTGACTACAAGATACAGTCACTGAATGCTAGTTCTGATTCCTACTAACCATGGTAGCCTGGGTCATTGTACACACTGGGCAGTGCAGCTATGTAAAAATAAGTGTCCCAACAAAAATACTTTTAAAAAATAATCCCTGGGGGGCTAGGTTTTGATATCCCTTTAGGAGTCTACCACTGCAGTGCCAGGCTCACTTGAACTGCTGTCCTGCAGGATTGGAGTTTCTTTGCAGACACCCTATTGCTTTACCGCCCTTCTGTTCTCCACAGCTGGTACTTGGTCCGAGTGGAGTGTTGCAGGGGATTCGCCCAGGGAAGTGTTACGTGGATATGTCCACCGTGGATGCAGATACAGTCACAGAGTTGGCTCAGGTAATCACATTGAACTGAGCTTCTAACACCTGTGATTCAGCAGCAGTACTGCAGTTCTTGTTGCTTCAGGCAGTAAGCTCTTCATAATAAAGATGCTTCTGAAGATTTTTCTGGCTTTTAGGAGACAGTCAAGTCACAGGCAAATAAGACAAAATAAACTGTCAAATCTTGACCAGCGAAGTTGGATTAGATGTTCCTGGTGATAACAGCGAAGCCTGTAGATTTGGCAGGGCTGTTAGCTGGCAGCAATGCAAACAGCCAGCCAAATTTTGATCCCTTAAGAAGTATTTATAGCCAGATTGGTATTCTGTAGCAAACTGGAGGAGAAAGCACTGTCTAGATTAATAATTGCCCTTAAATTGATTCAATGCATAATCTTCTTATTTCACATGTTCTAGTTGGGGGAAAAAGAATGCCTTCATGTTTTATTCTGTAGAAATATTATTACAGAGAGGATTTTTGTAGAAGTGTTCTAATTATTTCTGATGTGGTATCTTTGATTTCTTCTTTGGAATCTTGATTGTTATCCTCTGCCTTAAAGGCAGCGTGTGTTGTTACACAATGAAGGGGACCTTGTTTTGGTGACATATTGGTGATGCAGTAGTGTGTAACATGACTTTAGAGAATGAAGAGTTGTACATATTAGTAAACCTCTGGCTGAAGAGATCTGTCAAAGGCCTTTCCTCTTCGGGGAAAAAGGGAGAAATACCATAACAGTCAATCTCCTGAGGTTTCTACACCGCATATAGAACTTCAGCACTGGTTCCTTGGCTGTTACAGGGTGCCATGGCAAAAGCATGTAAATTGAGTTGCTTAAAACATGCACAGTAGTGATGGGTGCAGGAAAGTGTTGCTGGAGTGCATGGGCAACTTTTGGTCTCAAGTACACTTTGCAGGATGCAGAACGTCACATGTTAGTGCTTTCCTCTCCTGTTTGTACGTCTGAGCTATTTGTTCTGTTTTAACCTTCTGTCCTCAGGGACAGCAATGCCCTAAACAATGTTCTTGCTGTGCTGCCTACTCAGCATCAATGCATGCTGTTCATGCACAGCTAACCAGAGATGCTCTTTTTCCAGGTGATAGTGTCCCGGGGTGGTCGCTTTTTGGAAGCACCGGTCTCGGGAAATCAGCAGCTGTCTAATGATGGGATGCTTGTGATCCTGGCAGCTGGCGACAGGGGTTTATATGAGGACTGCAGTAGCTGTTTCCAAGCGATGGGGAAGACCTCTTTTTTTCTAGGTAATTGAAACACGGAGGGCCTGATAGCAATTTCTTAGTTAGTGCAAGGACTGGGAGTTCCAGTAAGGAGTCCGAGAGGCACCTGTGTCATCTGTTTCTTGTCTCCTTGGGCAGCATAGGAAACTGGCCTGCTCTTCTGGAACTTGGCTGATTTTGGAACCTCCAGCCTAAGTTTTCTTTTTTGAATACTGGCTCATTTTGGAGGATCCGTGATGCTTTTATTTTAAATCATACTTTGTTATGATTTCTCCCTTCCTTTGAGTGCTTGGAAAATGGGTAGGTTTTCTGAAGTCTTTCAGGGGAAGGGAGAGCTGCCAAGTGCTTGATACGAAGAGTCTAGTAGTGTTAATACTGTGTGGGATGGGGGAACAAGGCCGCTATATCTCTTCTGGAGGAATGCCCAATGATATGTCTTGCTCCCAGGTGAAGTAGGCAATGCTGCCAAGATGATGCTGATTGTGAACATGGTCCAAGGCAGCTTCATGGCAACGATAGCAGAAGGACTGACTTTGGCTCAAGTGACTGGCCAGTCCCAACAGACCCTTCTGGATATCCTCAATCAGGGACAACTTGCCAGCATCTTCCTGGACCAGAAGTGCCAAAGTAAAGTTCTCTTACATTGTTTTGTTATAGGACATTTGCCACAACCTAGCAGCTTTTCAGATAATGGCAGAAGGGAGAAAATAACTGTCCCATCTTCACCAGCCTGGGATTCTGGGTATTTTAAGCATTCTGTAAATGAAGCGCTGAGTTCCATTCCTTCCCCTTCATAGCCAGGGCTTGTGAGAATACACCCCAAGCTCTGCATTGTCTACAGCCTGCTTAGGACTTGAGTTGATAGTGAGGATTTCCTTGGGGCAGAGTAATAAGTGAAAGGGAGGGCAAGCTGCTTAGAAATCTGACCTCAGTTTTTGTCAGTGGGCAATAGTGACATTATCTGCTGTGGCTGGATGAAGATAGAGAGCAGAGAAGCAGAAGAGCTAAAAGCAGTGTTCCTGGCGATCAGCATGGGAAAGGGAAGTTTGGTGTTGAATTGCATGCCCTTGCAGTGTGGGCTTGATTTACTCTGGTCATGCTTATTTTTTGCATGCATTCCTCTCAACAGATATCTTGCAAGGAAACTTTAAACCTGATTTCTACCTGAAATACATACAGAAGGATCTTAGATTAGCTATTGCACTGGGCGATTCTGTCAACCACCCAACTCCCATGGCAGCTGCTGCCAATGAGGTAAGAGTTGTTCAGTGTTCAGATATGTGTTACTCAGCACTTCTTCAATAGAGCCATTTGTCAAGAAGAGACAAAAATCTTAAGAATTACATCATCCCTAAGACAAGGGAGCAGCAATGGAGGTATATTTTGACCAGGATGGAGTTGGATTTGTTTTGATTGTAGAAGCCCTTAAAATGTCACATCAGTAAACATAGATGGCCTCAACAAGACCTGGTGTGTTCTGATCTGCACTGCTCTAATTACTTGACATGCTGTGCAGTTCTCTGGTTTGCAGTGGTCAGCAAAATAATTTTTCTGCTGGGGAAAGGCTTCGCACAAGAGCAGGCACTGATACTTTTCTGATTTCTCTTCTCTAGGTCTATAAACGAGCAAAAGCATTGGACCAATCAGATAACGACATGTCTGCAGTGTACAGGGCCTACATCCACTAGGCTGCACCGTTCTTACTGTTAATACTATGATTATTGATTAATATTATTATGATACTGGGTTTTAACTCTGGACCAGTCCATCTCTGTCTCTCCATTTCCTTTTATACACAGACTTTGAGATCTGCCGCGGAGGCAGCTGCTGCGGTGAGCCTTCCCCTGGTGGCAGAAGGGGGGGAGGAGGGGGCTCAGATTGTTGCAGTCTAATTAGGAAAATCCATGCCATGCGCTGACAGTCATGGAACAGAACAGTGGCGGCTTGTTCAGAAGCTCTGAGGCAACTCTGCCAGAAATCTGCTGCTTGGCTGCTTTTATTTTCCTCTTTGTATGCTTGTCCAAGATGCTGTTTCTAATGATCCCTTTTCTCCTTTGCTGTGAAATAACGCGTGTGTTGGACTCTCTGCATCAAGGGGACAGGTGACATACATCCCATCTACCTGTGAATATCACTAAAGTCCTTGGTCCCAAGTAAGGTGAGGAGCATTCGTGTTAATGGGCCACTGTTAGAGAACAAAGCACCTCCCATGGAGGAGAATGGCAGTTCCAGCAGGTAATGGGGTTGCATGCAACACTGTCTTGATTCTGTTTCTTTGTAAACTTCCACCTCCCCAACACCCTGATGGAGGAATTTCTCATACTGTTAAGAAGAACAGATTGCATCCACGTCTTCCCCTGTACAGACAACTGTAGCTTAGGGAGCACAAACCTTACTGAAAATGAGAGAATGCCAGTGTAAACGAGCCTCCTAAAAGGCTAATCGCAGCCGCCCATCCCACAAACAGCATTGGAGATCAACACGTTTGCATAGAAAACTGCAAGAGAAACATACAGCCTAAAACTGGGCCAGAGGTATTTTTTGGGGGGAAGGGACAAACCTTAGGGTTGCTCCTGGCCTTAGCTTATGTTGCTTTACTTCTTGCTTCCCCCCCGAGTCAATAATTACAAAGATATCTTGGATTGTCGTGGTGTCACAAGCAGAGTGATGAGTCTGGAAGGGACGAGAAGAGTGATCGTAGAGCCAAGAGACTGAGAATCCTGAGCTCATTTCCACGCGCTCTCTCTGGCCTTTGCACAGTCATTATATCTCAGCCTGTTTGCCCATCTTTAAAGGTGGGTGATGATTACCTACCTCATGGGGATAGTTTGTGTACTGAGTAGTGATCTTTATGCCCGTCAGATTTTCCATACGTGTTCTTAGTGTTACTGCTCTAGGTACAACACCAACACAGCATGAGACATTTCCCTGTACCTGTGACTCTGCTTGTGGCCAGATACCAACTTCTAGAAAGACTAATAAATAAACCGGGAGGCTAAGATCGCTGCAGAGCTTCAGTCTTGAAATGTGAGACTAGAACTGCAGATGCCAAGGCTAGAGAGCAGAGATGCTGTCAGTGTTGATAGCAGAACAGCCCAGAGCCCAAAGGATGCCTGTCTAAAAATGCACAGTGTGTGGGGTTTTTTTAATTGTTCTCAGTATTAGCCTTTTAGGAGGGTTCTTGCATATTAGATTTGAGAGTTAGTAAAATGCCAGTAAGAAACTTTATTGGCTAAAATCACTTCTCAGTGGCACAATCTCCTCCCTTGGGTTGGGATTCTGAAAGGAAAGAAAGCAAATTCAAATGAGACCATGTTCCTTTAAATCCGTGAGGTCTGCCCTTCCCACCATCTTATTTTTCTAGGAACTTAAAGGCTGCGTAGGGAAATTTTCCTGTGGGTTAGGATTTCTTATCAATCCTGCTTTGGGCAGCAGGTGTGTATGGTTCAGGGGCACCTTATTAAGAAACAGAAAGTATCGGATACTCATTACAGATCGCGACATTTAACGCCTAATGCTATAAATGTTACTTTGTTGAATATTTTACCTCCTCTATTTGTGGGCTAATCTTGTGTTACGCATTATGTCCTGTGGTGAACATCTAGTAGTAGATGGGTTAGACATCGCTTTGCCCATTTGTCCGTGGTATACGTGAACAATACTAGTTACACATACATGTTCCTTTGGCAGCGCAACCATCATCCTGCACGTAGATACTCATATTAAAGGCACATATAGCTACCCAGAATAACCAGCCATTAGCCTGCTTTCGGCACGCTTGCGCTTCCCCCACCCAGAAGAACTAAGCTATCAGCATGAGAAGTCCCTTGGTTAAACACGCCACAGTTCAGAAATCACTTACATGAACGTGTACTGAGGGCACCTGGGGGACACTGTCGTTTTGGGGGGGCAGGAGATAAGACCACAGGTTTTATAGTGTAAGAAATCTTTTGGGAGAAAGAGGAAGGTACTGCCTCGGGTCCAGTTGAGGGTGGAACCATGCTGAGCTAGTGCCACAGCGTCCCTGACCTGTCCCTGCGCAGGTCTCTTGGGCCAGGGTCTGAGTAAAGGTCGTGGAGGATCTCCCTCTTCACTTTGTGGTGCCTCTGGGTAGAGTGAGAATAGGAAAGGAGCTTTCGAGTCCCGTGATGTGTATTTCATAATGAATTCAAAGAACCGTATTTGTGAGAGGGAGAACTCCCAGGCGTCTCACTGCTGCAGGTTTTGTTTTCCAGAAGTACTGTAGTTATCAAAGTGGAGATGGTTATTTATGGGGAGTGGCAGGCGCAGACTAGTTAAACACTGTAATTTATCCCGGGAAAGCCTGACAGCAGTGTTCTGGCAAGGTAGGTGGATGGCGAAGGGCTGGAGCGCAGGGTGCTCCCCAGCCAGCTGTACCATCACAGGTACGCCAGGGAGGAGCAGAAGGGGACCAAGAGCTCTGAAGTGGGTGCAAAGTGAGAGGAGGAGGGATGGAAATGGTGAAAACCAGTCTGTTTCAGAGGCCATTTGAGATTTGACTCGTGTTGGTCTCACTTGGATTCTTGAATTTATGTCTGTAGCCTCTGAACATGGATCTTCATTTGTTCCTAGGCCTGAGATTCGGGGGAAGGAAGGGAGGGGAAGCTGTGGATTGAGAGATGCTCTAATAAAACTGGCTAGTCAATGTTGTCTTAATATTGTTGACAATTCTGTAAAGTTCATTTTTATGAGGATTTCTGTTTTAGCAGTTTGGTTTTTTTGACTCCCTCCTTTTTAAAGAGAAAATGTGACACTTGTGAAAAGCTTGTAAGAAAAGCAGTTTCTTTTTTTCCTCGATGATAGATCCTATAGTTAATTAAGGTTGTGAATTTTTTTTTTGCCTTGTTTTTAATTAACGTTTGTCATTCAGAATAGGATGTGTGAAAATGTTTAAATGGCAAAACAATTTTTTTTTTGTGCAATTAACAAAGCTACTGGCAAAAAGAATAAAACCTTTCTTGGTAACACAGTGTTCTTGTGGCAGTTTCTAAAGTCTATCAAACCCCTATTGGGGCATTAAAGAAATACATGCATTCTTCAAAATGTTCAAAAATCAGGTTACTGCTTTTTTGACCATCCTGGTGGCGTTTGCCATCCAAAAGGGGTAACGTTCATGTACGGAGCCGTAAAGAGCGCGTACGGGTTAACGGTCTCAGGGCGCTGAAGTGAAAAGAGCTCCGTTTGGGCGCTGCGACGAGAAGCGGCGCAGAAGGGGCTGGCGCGCGGCGAGGGCCGTGGTGCCGCTGGCCCGGCCCCCTCTCCACGGGCGCCCCCCGGGGCCGGGCCTCGCTGCCGGGCGGGGTTCGGTTCCGTTCCGTTCCGTTCCGTTCCCGAACGGCGAGGCTTCCCCGGCTTCACCCGTTCTTGAGGACTGCTGCAGCCCGGGTTGCCGCCATTGCCCTATGCCGCCATTGCCCCGCCCGCCTGACGTCACGCCCTGGGCCACGGCCTTG